ACACACAGACACAGACATACACACATAAATGCATCTCAAAAAAAAAAAAAAAAAAGAAAAAGGTATTTAGTAAAAAGTATTAAGTAAAACGTTGTGAATTGCCTGGTGTTGGCTACAACTCTAGTTTTCTGTTTTCAACCAGGGCATGTGAGTGCTAAGTCTGTTCTTAAAATGTTAGGTATCTAACATAGCCAAGATAACATCTTTGAAGGAGAATTTAAATCTTCTGTAGAAGGTTAACAAACCTGTAGAAGTTTATCCTCCTCCCTAGGTCTCCTACAATGCTGAATAGTGTATGTTCATTAAGAACAGAATTCATGGGCCTGTAATCCCAGCACTTGGGGAAGCCAAGGCAGGCTGATTGCTTGAGCTCAGGAGTTTGAGACCTGCTTGGGCAACATGGTGAGACCCTGTCTCTACCAAAAATACCAAAAAATAGCTGGATGTCTTCCTGTTGCTCCAGCTACTTGGGCAGCTGAGGTGGGAGGATTGTTTCAAGCCTACAGGGCAGAGATTGCAGTGAGCCAAGATAGTGACACTGCCCTCCAGCCTGGGTGACAGAGAGAGAGACCCTGTCTCAGAAAAAAAAAAAAAAAAGAAGAGTATACTTTTACATATCTTCTGTCTCCACAACACTGGAAGTGATTATCAGTGAGTATACAAGCAAGCACCTCGTAAAAACCCTTAGCCTGTTTTAGAAGGAAATGTCTATTAATTAGTGGTTATCTTTTAACTCTTAACCTTATAGGCTGGACCCTGTCCTATACCGCAAGTGTCAGGGAGATGCTTCTCGTCTTTGCCACACCCACGGTTGGAATGAGACCAGTGAACTTATGCCTCCTGGAGCTGTGTTCTCTTGTTTATACAGACACGCCTACCGCACTGAGGAACAGGGAAGGAGGGTATGCAGTCAATACTGACTTCATTTCTTCTTACTGTCATTTGTTTTTTTAGTTGTTTGCTGTATATTATTCTGATTTCAGTCATCTTAGGAAAACTTTTTTTAGACTATTTTGTGGGGAAAAGGTTCTATACTTCGAGAAACTTCTTCATTCTATTTTTAGGGGAGAAAGTTTTCTACACTTCTAGAAACTTATTTTTTAGACTATTTTGTGGGGAGAAGGTTCTACACTTCTAGAAACTTCATCATTCTATGAGTGTACCTAGAATTGCCCTACCAGTTTCTATCATCTGATTTTATGTTTTTAACAAAGTGAATAGGGGAAGATTTCCGGATTTTTTTCTTTAAATTCCCAAAATCTGAATCACAAATGGACAATTAAATTCTGCTGTCCTAATTTTATTTAGCTTCAAGGATCCATTGGAAGCTTTTAGTCAGGCCACAAATCGCTTTTACGCTTCTGTTCTTGGCAGCTGAACATATTCGCATTGTCTGCCCATGAACTGGTTGGAGCAGAAACCTCCATACCTCAGTCTCCTGGTATTTGTCTGCCCCAACTGCTGCCTTTTGTTGGGATGTTTGTGTGGGAGCATCGGCTGCTTCCCCGGGTACACTGACATGTGCTTGTTCTCCAAGATGGCTTTCTCCACCTTCTGAGATACTCCATTATCAGTCCTCCCTTTGTTCCAGAGAATAGAGATGGTATCACTTCTCATCCATCCTTAGAAATACCCCTTCTGCGCTTAATGCAAAAGCCTGGCTGTCTCTAATTCAGAATGAGGGGACTCAGAAGGAAATGGCATACTTCAGTTGCTGCACCCTAACCCAATGTTTATACTGCTGTGTAAGAAAACATGGCAATTTGTTGTTACTGTTTTTTTTTTCTCTCTTGTATAATGACCCTGTCATTAACCATGGGGACTCCCAAATCCTGGCATCTTTCTAGCCACTATAGTGACTGGAAAATAGGAGATTTCTTCTCTTTTAAATAAGAAAGAGTTGCTGGGGTGTTAGTTTTCTTTTCTTTTTTTTAATTGAGGTGAAATTCACGGAACATAAAAGTAACTTTTTTTTTTTTTTTTTCCCACAGAGTCTTGCTCTGTTGCCGAGCCTGGAGTGTGCTGGTGCAATCTTGGCTCAGTGCAACCTCTGCCTGCTGGGTTCAAGCAGTTCTCCTGTCCCAGCTTCCCAAGTAGCTGGAATTAAAGGAGCCTGCCATCATGTCTGGCTAATTTTTTTTTTCTTTTTGTATTTTTAGTAGAGATGGGGTTTCACCATGTTGGCCAAGTTGGTCTCGAACTCCTGACCCCAGGTGATCCTCCCACCTCAGCCTCCCGAAGTGCTGGCATTACAGGCATGCGCCACCGTACCCAGCCAAATTAACCATTTTAAAAAGAAAAATTCAGTGGCATGTAGTACATTTACAGTGTTGTATGGTCGTCATATCTATCTAATTTCAAAACATTCCATGACTCCAAAAGGAAATACCATGTCCATTAAACAGTTACTCTCCATTCTTCCTGTCCCAGGTATGCTGCCCTTTTTTTTTTCTTTTTTGCAAGAGAGACTGTACCTGTCAATAACAGCTTTCTCATGGCCCTTGGAAAAATACTGGTTTTCACCTATGCTAATTCTGCATCGCTCATCTAGAAGAGTCCAGTCTTGTCTCATAATAACTGTTGTGTCTACATTTGCCTGCTTTTTCTGATTTAGGTCAGTTTGAACTCAGTTCTCCTAAGTCAAGTATATATGCTCTCTTGAATTGGACCTGACTTTCTACTTGGCATTCATACACTGGCAAATTATTTTGCTAAACAAACCAACAAACAAAAAACTTGCAACTAACCTAGTCTGAATGAAGCCAGTTCACTTTTATCAGGATACTCTCATAAAGGAATGTTTTTTATATGGTATATTAGAAACTGCTGAATATATATAATCACATTTCTAAAGATAAGGCCTTTTTGAAGCCTCCTGCAACATTTAACTTTTATTCTGGAAGATATTTGAGGTATAAAATTTGGGAGATAAAATACAGGATTATTAGTTTCCTCATAACAGGTTTATCGCATATCTTTGTGTTTTTGTTTTGTTACCTTTCAAGTACTTAGCTCATTTTTTTTCTCATGCAGCTCTCACGGGAGTGCCGAGCTGAAGTCCAAAGGATCCTACACCAGCGTGCCATGGATGTCAAGCTGGATCCTGCCCTCCAGGATAAGTGCCTGATTGATCTGGGAAAATGGTGCAGTGAGAAAACAGAGACTGGACAGGTAGGTGACATCACTCTCTGTTTATCTTACAGTAATGATGATCTTAATGTTTAATGTTTTATCCAGAGTACAAACACCAGAAAATCCATCTCTCTTTACCTTACAGATGTGATTTGTTGTATTAGTCAATATTTTCTGTAGAAGAACTTCTCAGGAAAATTTTCTCTTTGGTCTATGTATCAGGAATAGTTGGCAGCTAGTTTGTCTTTGCATTATGATTATTGTATTTTGTAATTGATTATTTTCCCTCCTCCTGTTGCTTCTTAAAATGTCTAGAGCCAAAGATATGGCCTGCCTCTTGCAGGTATATAAGATTTCATAGTAGGCGTTTTTGTAGTAAGCTTACTACTGGCTCCATTTCACATCCTCTTAACATGTTTTCCTTTCCTTTTTGTTCCTCATCTTTACTCATTTCACTCATTTTTAATTCATTTTCTCTGTTAAGTTCTTTTGAGATAAGCAGGGTGGAAATCTATGCGTATGTGAGCATTGGTCTGCATGAAGAGTGAGCATGCCCTGGAACAGGCCCATAAAATACATAGAAATGGATTTTTTTCTCATCTGGCTGGCAAAATTGAAGCTTAGAAAAGCTAAGTGTATGTATTTCCTTACCTAAAATTCGGTTCGTTTCATTATAAAGCCTCTCCATGTAGGAGCAGGCCCTATAAATTACCTGCCTGCTGTGATTGGCTCCTTAGTACTGTGTCCTAGTTTAAGGGAAAGAAGGAAAGATACATGACTATAGGTTACATGGGAAGCTAGCATGTCTTCCATCTGAAAGCAGGATACTCAGCAGTAGAATAGCTGCATGTTTAAAGCCACATAAATACTCAAGGAACTCAGGTTTCCAGGTTCCATTTGTACCACTACAAAACCTCTTCTGGAAGTACAGTATGAAAAAGTCACACATACTGGAGTTGGACGTTTTAAAGAAGAAACGTGGTTGTCCACTCAGGTCTGTTGAGCATAGGAGTATCATTTTCAGCAGCCTGTTTCCTGAGCTTGCTACAATTCTGTTGGGTTTATTATTAGAAAATGCCAATAGTTGAGCTTTCTGTTTCCTCTGTCCAATGAAGCAAGGGATATGATGATTTGGAATCCCAGAAAACAGTTTCCTTTAGAACTCCCAGTGAAGTATAAACTTTAGAAAGCTGCCCTACATTGCAGCCTATCGTGGAAAAGCTAAACTTAAGGATTTTTTTCTTTTTTTGACAGAGTTTCACTTTGTCACCCAGGCTGGAGTGTTAGTGGCATGATCTCGGCTCACTGCCACCTCTGCCTCCTGGGTTCAAGCAATGCTCTTGCATCAGCCTCCTAAGTAGCTAGGATTACAGCACCGGCCACAACGCCCAGCCAATTTTTGTATTTTAGTAGAGATGGGGTTCCACCATGTTGCCCAGGCTGGTCTCCAACTCCTGCGCTCAGGCAACCTGTGCATCTGGCCTCCCAAAGTACTAGGATTACAGGCGTGAGCCACTGCGCCCAGCCAGGATTCAGATTCCATTAATAGGATCTTTCTCTTAGCTATTTATTTTACCTCCAAAAGTTCAGTGCGTTTTCCTTTAGTTTTTTTTTTTTCTTCTTCTTCTTCTTCTTCTTCCATTCTGGCTGTTCTATAATTCCCACAACTCTTTCCTTCTCATTCTGATTCTGATTCTGAAACAGAGCGATTCTTGCAGAATAGTCAGTAAATTAAACTTGATCCTTTAACAGAGCACTTTGCAGAGAAATAGCTGTTGATATGCTCTGGGAAAGTGAGCTGATGTTGTACTTGAAACCTCTAAGCCTCTAAAAGGAATAGTAACAGACTAGTGTACAGATAATTCCAGCTCAGTTTCCAAAGCCCAGACAAGATAGCTTTTAGGTACCTAAACCCTAGTGTGTTCACTTGTTTTCCTTCAGAGGATCCTTTTGATGTGTACTGGAGTTAGAATCCCAGATCTGACTTACAGGAGTTATCAATTCTATCCTGTGTTCTGGACCCCCGGTCCCCAACTACTTTGCCAATAAAGAGTCTTAAAATAATCTGTGCTCTTCACTGTGAATTTGTCTGATGATCATTAATAAAGTACGCATTTAAAATGTGAGGTAAAAGGTTATCAAAGCACAGATTCAAAATGGAATCAAGGCCTGATAAGGTTTTTAGACTTTGATTCTCCTTCACTTGTAAATTTGGCCTTCTGAGGGATTTGCATGGCTCTTTTTTTTGAGATGGAGTTTGACTCTTGTCGCTCAGGCTGGAGTGCAGTGGCATGAACTTGGCTCACTGCAACCTCTGCCTCCTAGGTTCAAGCCATTCTGCTGCCTCAGCCTCCCGAGTAGCTGGGGTTACAAGCACCCGCCACCACGTTAGCCTAATTTTTTTATTTTTAGTAGAGACGGGGTGTCGCCATGTTGACCAGGTAGGTCTCAAACTCTTGACCTTAGGTGATCAGCCCACTTCGGCCTCCCATAGTGGTGGGATCACAAGTGTGAGTCACAATGCCTGGGCTTTGCGTGGCTCTTGTACCCACTTAGCCCTCATAACCAGCCTGCTACATCAAGTAATTATCTTTCCAACATTCTTAGTTTGGAGGATTAAACAAAGCTTTTATGTTCTGTTCAATGAAGTAGTTTTAAAAAGAAGAGAAAGGGCAAAGTGCAGTGTCTCACACCTGTAATCCCAGCACTTTAGGAGGCCGAGGTGGGCAGAGGTCAGTTCCAGACTAGCCTAGGCCAAAATGGCGAAACCCCATCTCTACTAAAAATGCAAAAAAATTAACTGGTCATGGTAGCAGGTGCCTGTAATCCCAGCTACTCAGGAGGCTGAGGCAGGAGAACAGCTTGAACCCTGGAAGCGGAGGTTGCAGTGAGCTGAGATCATGCCATTTCACTCCAGCCTGGGCAACAGAGCAAGACTCCATCTCAAAAAAAAAAAGAGAGAGAGAGAGAGAGAAAGGACCACTGAAAAGGGAAGTGTCATGACACTGCTATCTATATTTACATTTCCTTTATTCATGTATGCGACTAATAAATGCCAGTGGCTTGCCTTTATGTTTGTAGGAGCTTGAGTGCCTCCAGGACCATCTGGATGACTTGGTGGTGGAGTGCAGGGATATAGTTGGCAACCTCACCGAGTTAGAATCAGAGGTAAGTGGTATGCAGCTTACTCATTGGAAGAGTGGCTTCCAGCAGCCTGGCATTTTGTGCTTGGTTCTACTGTTTCTAGATTCCTGAGAGTGCAGATTCTCTGTCAATCAAAAGAAACCTATCAGATTCTCCCTATTTGCTTTATAAAGAAGTATATTGTGGTGCTTTGTGAACTCCTTCCCTCATTTCTCTAGAGCAACATTCTATACAGCCCTTTGGTTTCCTTCATAAATGAGATATATCACAGTCATTAGACCTGCCTTTGTTTCCCCCTTAAGATAGCAGCTGCACTTCAAATCACTTAATCACATTTAAGAGCAATCTACAGATTCCCATTCTCCTACCCTGTGCTCTTTAGGTCATTTGGTAGTATTTGTGTGTTTCAGAGCATAAAAGCTGGGGACTTCCAGTAAACATGAAGATTGAATACAGATGTTTATCCCTGTTCCATCCTGAAACTCCGTAAAATATTAAAAATGGGATTAGAAACCCTTATAAAGCACTGGCACATTATTTAGAAATTCAGAAGAGAGCAGCTAAAAATGTTACAGTTGTTTTGTGAGGGCAGAAATCAGAGAAGTGGGGAACTACCATTTTGTTGTAAACCTTTTAGTACTCTTTGAATTGTCATAATTGGCATTATGTAAAATTACATTTCTCAACCAATTCCTTTTGCTTTCTAGTTTTCAGAAGTTGGTTGCCTTCTCTCATTTTGTCATCTCTCACATTATCATTGTCATCATGGACTTAGAAGAACAGTCTGGGGTGTATAGCTCTTTAAAGGAAGGTGTTCTTTCAGGAGCTAGTGCTACATGGGTTTTTCTGCTTAAAGGCATTATTAGTCTGTGTTCAGCAGAAACAGTGGTTTGGCATCTGCTTTGAGGGCAGTGCTCTGGCTTATGAGCTTATAAACTGAAGATGGATATCAGTTACCACTATTTTCATTTTGAACTGCTTAGCATTTTGGAAAAATCTCCAGAAGCTTTGCATACTCTAATGTCATTACTAAATTTGTTTTTACCTCACTTTTCTTAATTCTGCCTTCTCATTTGTTCAGGCAGAAAGGGAATATGCCTCTAAAAATTTGCCTTTCAAAGTATAACAGAGGAGCAGTTCTTTATTTATTCTCGGGCTCTCTAACTCAAATACTAGAATCGTTTCCAAAAGTACATATTACATTATTTGCCCATCAAATATTACTGATTCAGAAAGAGAAACTGCTTCTCCTCCATCCTGGCTCTTTCTAAAGCAGAATTATTAACATATTTAATCTTCTACAGGATATTCAAATAGAAGCCTTGCTGATGAGAGCCTGTGAGCCCATAATTCAGAACTTTTGCCACGTAAGTGATGTCTGGAGGAATAAGGGTTAAAAACAGAAACAGATTCACAGGGACTCTGCCCTGAGTATCTTGGACTCATCTCTGTCTTCAGCATATATTACTCTTGAATGATAGCCAGCTTTGACAAGTTAAAATTTAAAATGTAAACAGGCCGGGTGTGGTGGCCAATACCTGTAATCCCAGCATTTCGAATCTAGGAGAGTGGATAACTTGAGCCTAGGATTTCAAGACCAGCCTGGGCAACCTCGCAAAACTCCATCTCTACAAAAAATTAGCTGGGCGTGGTGGCACGCGCCTGTAGTTCCAGTTACCCAGGGGGCAGAGGTGAAAGAATCACTTGAGCCCAGGAAGTCAAGGCTGCAGTAAGCCTTAAATGCGCCACTGCACTCCAGCCTAGGCAACAGAGTGAGACCCTGTCTCAAAAAAAAAAAAAAAGTAAACAAGATCAAGAGAGAGGTGCCATCATCCTGGAGCCATGTTTGATTAGCCTTTGCAGGTAAGCAGGTATGTGGCTACCAGCAGTTATTGAGATGCCTTTTTTTAAGAAGAGATGGAACAGCGAAGCCCCCATTAGTATGGCAGAGTTGATTCCAGTTCATCAGCCTAGGAACTGTTAGCATCAGCTCAGGAATTGTTAGCAGTAATAGTGGCTCTTCCTTCCAGTTGTCTCCTAGTACCTCAATATTGACCGAATTCTGATTATTTCATATTCATTTATTGAACTGCTTAAATTACAGGAGTGAAACATACCCAGGAACCACTGGGATCTGACAGTTGGGAGACTATATCAGAGATTATCCCAAAAGCTAGGTGCTAACATCATACAAGAAAAGTTTAAAAAAAAAAAAAAAAAGCGTATAGTCTTGTCTCATGCAGAACATGCCACTGAATGTATACCTTTGTGATTTCTCAGGCTTATTTTTGATACAATTTATGGTGTGTCTTTTTTTTTTTTTTTTTTTTTTTT